TACAAAGAGTAACCTAGGAATTGTTGTACCCTCTAAGGGCAACTCACTGTAGCCTAGAAGTCTAACAATGGATATGAACATTATTTGACACACCCCCATAGGCTTAGTGAGGTGCACCTAACAACTAGCAAGGGAAACAACACTTACAAGACCAGTCAAGAGCAAGCAACAAAACAAGGCTCAGGGTGGCGCTCAGAGTCACCACACACTCTGAGCACAAACAAGAGGCAACAAGGCTAGTTCAAGAGTTCACTAGGATAAAAGCAACACAAGCAGAGCAAACAACAAAGCTACAGCAACCGAGGGCCTACCTCAACAAGCCATAGCTGCACACAGAACCTGTGGTGATCACCAGGCGCCAAAGCCTTGGTGAAGACGTCTGCAGTGTTGGCCTCTGAGGCCACAAATTCCGAGTGTGCCTGGCCGCGTCGATGCAACTCTCGCATGAGAAAGTACCTCACGTCAATGTGCTTCACTCTGCTCTCTAGTCGAGGCTCTCGACACAGAAGGATCATGGCCTTATTGTCAGCGAACAAGGTCGGTGCAGAGCGAGGCCGCTCACCAAGGTCGGTGAGCAAGAAGGTCAACCAGCGAAGCTCCCATGCCGCCATGGCAACAGCGTAGATCTTTGCCTCTACACTGGACGAAGCCACAGACGACGACCGTGTAGAACTCCACGACACAGCGCCAGCACCAAAGCTGAAACAGTAACCCTGAGTCGAACGCTGAGTCTCCACGTCGTCCATGTAGGAAGAGTCGCAGTGACCGGTCAACACAACTGGCTGAGTCCCTCCAAGCACAAGCCCCATGCCTGATGTAGTCGCCACGTACTTCGCCATCCTCACAGCTGCTGTCCAGTGAACAGGACAGTGTCTCCCAGTCGCAACAAAGCGAGAGAGGACGCTGAGGGGAAAGGCAAGGTCCGGCCGAGTACATGTCATCAGGTACATGAGGCAGCCCACAAGCTCTGCGTAGGGACCACTGGACTCAAAGGGCTCGTCGGGAAAGGGGCCAGTGAGTCTGTGGTCAACGGCAAGAGGAGTGGGCTGTGTGGTGGAGAACTGAAACTCGAACCGTCCAAGGACCTGCTGCACCATGTGTGACTGAGTCGGTGTGATGGTGCGAGTGGCTCTATCCCTGGTGATTTGCAGGCCAAGGTAGCGCTGCAGCTCACCGAGGTCAGTGCACGTGTGTCTCTTCTGCAGTTCGGATTTCACCTCAGCCATAGCTGCCCTGTCTGCTGTAGCAAAGACAAGGACGTCGACGTAGACCAGTAAAAAGAAAGGAGTGGAGCCAGCGCGAACAAACAGCGACGGGTCGGCAGAAGAAGGACGAAACCCAAGGTCACGAAGCGTGGAGCGAAGAGTGTCGTGCCACTCACGGAGCGACTGGTGGAGACCGTAGACTGGTCGCCTCAGGCTCCACTTGGGTCCCAGGTGGGAAGGTCGCAGCCAGATCTCCTCGTGTAGGCGGCCCTGGAGAAACGCATAGGAGAAGTCGAGAGAGTGCAGGTCGTAGTCTCGCTGTGCAGCTACGTGCAGCAACACCCGAAGAGTTGTCATCTTCGGGGTCGGGGCGAAGGTCTGGAAGAAGTCAACTCCCTCACGCTGACTGAAGCCCCTAGCCACGTAGCGCGCCTTGAACACAGATGGTGAACCAGGCGGCCGCTTCACCTTGAAGAGCCGCATGCCATCGACAACGTTCGCCCTGGGAGGGGGATCTGCGTCGACGTAGGTGCCTGTGGATATCCAAGAAGCCAACTCTGAGTCCATGGCCGCTTTCTACTGAGAGGCCCACTCCCATGACACTGCCTCACGGTACGTGCAAGGAGTCAGTATGTCAAGGGCGTCAGGGTCTCCCTCAGGGGAAAGCAGCATGGCACAAAGAGAGGGAGAAGCGGCTGCCAAGTACTCCAGCTCAAACTGCCTGTCGTCTAGGACGTCACAGCCAAGGGCAGACTCACCCCCGACGGACAGAGGACGGGCAGCTACCACACGTGTGGCATAGTCAAGGCGGCGGGTGGTGGTAAAGTCACGGACAGCAGCAGTAAGAGCCGAGACCGACGACGGAGAGGCACGAGGGTCAGTGACAAGAGAGGTGAGGACACGAGAGACAACAGGGTGAGCAGCATGTTAGTAGTCAGAGATAGGAGTAGAGGAGACAGGGAGAGACGACTCAGGAGGTGACGGGAGAACAGACGCAGGTAGAGAACGGCGACAAGAAGAACAAAAAGGGCAGTGCGGAGGTCGTCAGTGGGAGAGGAGGGACGAGCACGCGGAGGACAGGGACGGACACGGTAGTGCAGGACAACGGGAGGAGGAGACGGGGACCGAGGAGGAGGGGAAACAGCGGGTGACGCGTCCGGAGGAGGAAACGTAGGACCGAAGGCAGGGGGAGACTGGGAGCGGACAGGAGAAGAGGAGGGAAGACCAAGGGCCCGAAGGCCACTTACGGCTGGGAACAACTGCCGCACAAGAGGCAGCTGCGGCGGCTGCTGCTGCTGCTCCTCCTCCTGATGCTCCTGCAGGCCCAACTACTGCAGCTCCCGCCTCTCCTGCTCCAACCGCTCCTGCTCCTCATGCTCACGAAGACGAGCCGCCTCGAGACGTGTGTCGTGGTGGTGGGGAGGCGCAGTAGTAGTGCCGTCAACGCTAGTCTCCTCAAAACTAGCACCACCAGCTCCAGCACCCCCGGAACTAGCACCTCCAGTGCCAGCACCTCCAACTCCAGCACCTCCAGCTCCAGCACCCCCAGAACTAGCACCACTAGTGCCAGCACCTCCTGCTCCAGCACCCCTAGAACTAGCACCGCCAGTGCCAGCACCTCCAGCCCCAGCACCCCTCAAAAGAGCACCCCCAGACCGAGTACCTCCAGTGGCAGCACCTCCAGCGCCAACACCCTCTGAGTCCACAGTAACATGTCGCGGAAGTGCCGAAAGCTGCTGAGGGGACTGTGAGGAGGACTGCAGGGAGGGAGACGCTACCTGACGCGCGACCGAGGGTAGAGGGGTAGTGTGAGACACACTTGACGGAGCAGGACCAGGGAGGGGCGGGGGTACCGGAGGAGCGGGAGCAGGAGGAGGAGTGGGGGCGAGAAAAAGAGGAGGGGGGGGGAACCGAGAGACCTCGACAGGGGTACCGGGTGCAGTAAGACACAGACCCGTCAAACCGGACGTCACGGGAGTCGAGGAACTGGTGGAGGGGGGGGTGGTAAAACTCAAAGTCAGAGGATTCCACCGGGAAACCAAGGAAGACACAGGCGCGAGCTGAGAGCTTATCCGCAGAGGTGTCGCGGACAAGCGCAAGGCAGCCTCAGACGTGACACTCCGATGCAACACCAAGAGTCCCGGTCCAAAGACTGGTCGGTGAAGCCCCTGGTCGTGAGACACGAGGCCAGAGGTTCAGCTGGTGGGTGGCGTAGTGAACCGTGTAGGGCCACAGAAAATGGGGCGCACGGGCATGGATCATGGAGGTGCGGGCGATATCCATGACCGAGCCAATGCGGCGCTCAGCAACCCCATCCTGCTGTGGGGACTCTGGAAGCGTCCAAGACTGTGTGATGCCCTGCTCGCCGCAGAACCCGGCAAGTACGCCTGAGCAGAACTCACCCCCACGGTCGGAGTGGAGACAACGGGCACGACTACCACGAGTGCCCTCAGTGGCCAGAAGCCACCGGATCAGCGTAAAAGTCACCTAAGAATTATTCGCAAGAGGAAACACCGTGGAGTACCTGGAGTAGTCGTCAACGACCACGAGAAAGAAGCGCTCCCGCTCAGGCCCAGCACGAGCGGCTGGGCCCCAGGCGTCCAAGTGGAGGGTCTGGAAGGGAGCGGTGGCCGGACGAAGGGAGGAGGACTGAGGAGTGGCGCGCAGCCGACCCTCGACGCAAGGAGTGCACGGCGGCGCAGGCGAGCGTGGAAGCGACTCTAAGACACGAGGGAGGTCAGAGACAAGACGCTGGCTAGCCATGCTGCGGAGGCGTGGGAGGGACGGGTGACCAAGACGGTGGTGCCACAGGACTGTCGGGTGAGAGAGTGAACGGCAAGAGCAAGACGCAACAACCAAACTGGACACCGCAACCTGACTGGACACAGCAACTTGAGGGGACGCAGGGACCTGAGAGCACTCAGTGTGCAGAACGTAGAGACCGGAGCGAGGCTCCCTGGTGAACGTAGCAAGAACGACACCGGTGGCAGCGTCCGTGCAGACCGCAGTCCTCCCGCCCCCGAGAAAGGTAACTGTGATCCCCCTATCCTAGAGGTATCCAACACCCACCAAGTTCCGAGTGAACGAGGGGATGTGGAGACGCTATCGGCGATTATAGGCAGGTTTGGGCGGCTACGGGCGGCTACAGGCGGCTACGGGCGGTTACGGGCGGCTGTGCGCGGAGGCGCGCAGCTGTGCGTGGCTACGCGGCCGGTGGCAGCTGTCACGCGCGGCTGTGCGGTGGCGCAGTCGTGCGCAGCTCTGTTGGCCGCAGCTGTGCGCTGCCGTTTGCTCCTGCATGCGCTGCGCGCAGCTGTGCGTGCATCGCGCGGCTGTGGCGTCGTGCCCGGCTGTGCCGTCTAGAGCGCGGCGAAACGGAGCGGGGGGGGGGGGGGGGTGGGGGTTGGGGGTTGGGGGAGAGGGGGGGCGTCGGGAGCGAGACGAAACGAAGCTCCCGCGAGGAGGGTGGGGGGGGCTGTGAGCTCGACTAAACAAGCCCGCGGGGGGGGTTGTGAACGCGACGAAAACGAGGCCCGCGGACGGCCGTCGTACCCGCGACGAAAGGGACCCTAGGGGACGGGCGCCTCGGGAGCAACTAAGGGAGGGAGCGGAAGCATGGGAGGGAAAAAAATAACCTACTCTAATACCATCTTAAAGTTTCCTAGGAATCAATATTGAGAGAATTGTGTCATGGTTTGGAGTGAGAGAGATACAAGGAGTAACCTAGGAATTGTTGTACCCTCTAAGGGCAACTCACTGTAGCCTAGAAGCCTAACAATGCATACCGTATGAACATTATTTGACAGCGTGGTGCACCACCGGCAGCCCTGCGTAGTCCCCCTCGCGCGAGCGCTCGTCCGCTCCGCCTCGACCCTCCGGCTCAGGACTGCGGACGGGCGGAAAAACAACGCGCAGGAGCAGAGCGGCGCAGCAGAGGGCGTGGGCAACGCAGAGAGGACGGGGTCGGTGGCGTGCGGGCATGGCGGACTGGCGGGATGGAAGTAGCGAATTGGAGCCCACGGCTGACGTGGCCATGGGCGCGACGTGCACGAGCAGCGAGGCGACGGGCGGAGATTGCGAGAGTCGCGGTGCTGCCAGCATGGTTGGCGTGGGAAGAGTGGGGAGGTGAGGTGAGCAGGTGCGTGCTCTGGGCTGAGAAAGCGCGCAACATGCTCTTTGTCGTGGTGAGTGAACATCGTGGATACGCGGTACAAGCTCGCTGGGATTGAACCAAAATAAGTCAACCCGTGGAAAGAATATTACATTACAACCACTACCACAAAGTGTTTCTAGCTTTCATTACTCTTCTCACCAACCTGAACAGTAATGCATGCACTGCCAAGGAACCCTCGTCACCTAGTAAATAACTTTTCAATCAACAGCAGGACTATACGGTACCCTATGTACCATCGGCTTGCCTCAGCCTGCACGCCAGAAATGAATCTCATACCCCCGCCATGAGCACAGCCGCCAGCAGCGGGAGAACTGCAGCAGCCAGAGAGGCTCCACTCGGCCCAGCAGCCTTGGGGGGAGGAGGAGAGGGGCTGGGGACAGTGGGAGGAGGAGAGGGGCTGGGGCTAGTGGGAGGAGACACAAATGGGGGTGACGGAGACACGACGCTTGGGGGAGGAGCACCGGTAATGGGTGTTGGCGGGGAGGAGGTAGGCGGAGAAAGGGCAGGGGCAGGAGAGGCGGGCACAAGAACAGGAGCGGGGGTAAGGAAAGACGTCAAAAGACTCGGGGAAAGGCCGGGTGGCGTTGGAGTAGGGAAAGCCTGCGCAGATGGCCGGGTCGAGGGGGCGGCCCGACACGCCCTTGGCGGCCGTCATGTTGACCGCACCGGGCGGGCAGGTGGCGGGGATGGTGAGCGGGTCGCAGGACAACGGGATGACCGGGATCACTGTGGGACCCCCGTAGCACGCTGTATCCTGCACCTGGTGGTGGGTGGTGGGCATGGAAAGTTCAAGAAGCAGCAGCAGTGAGCAGCGGCACACGGAAGAAGCTGACAAGAAAAAGGAGCGCGCGTGCAAGCTGCTGTGATGTGAAAGCGAGCGCCCAGGTTGACTACCCTGGAGCGCTCTGACTTGGGGGCGACGCTCTGACTTGGGGGCGACGCTCTGACTTGGGGGCGACCCGCAAATGGACTCACGGAGAATGTGGCGTTGAAGCCGGGGATCTGCTGCGCGATGAGCGGCACGATCATCAGCTGGAGCATGTCCTCGGAATATCTGCTCACGTCGCCCAACAAGGAACTCCCCACTGCACGCGAACGCCACAACAAAACGGAATTCGACAAGAGATTGGAGATCACTGTAGCCATTGTAATTTCGGAATGGAGATTGGAAGGAAAATTCCAAAGGGTGGAGCAAAACCACTGTAATTTCGGGATGGAGAGTTTATAAAGGAAAGTCGAAAAGCGCGACAGGAGCGAATCTACTGTAACACGGGAACGTGTAACGCGGATCTGACATGATATCATTGAGCAGGCGTTGGAAATCGCCGTGTAGTAGTCGCCGCCGCAGATCTGCAGCATGTACTTGCCGGGCTTGCCCGTGAGGTAGTTGCCCGAGTCAGCCACACACGCCGGCGAGAACGACGGAGCAGAAACGGGGGATGCGGAGGGGGGGAAAACGGCGAGGACGAGGGGGAGGCAAACAGCTAGCGGGTGCGAGTTGAAGGAACGAGTGGGGTTCGTAGAACATGCACTGTTTAGGTTAACGTTGGTTTGGTGTGCTGGCTATCTGTCTCACCGGGATTGCACTGCACGGCACAAGCGAGTTGCTCGACGATGTGCGCGCAGATATCATTTCCCTTCATGAGAGTACCGATCTGCACGCACGAAACGCACGCGAGCACGCGAAACACTCTCACATACAAAACAAGACTGTTAGGAACAATTTTGCAGAGCAGGTGCAGCGTGTAAACGAACGCAGCCCAGAATGCAGGCAGGCAGGCAGGCGGCACTGATGCTTCGTCTACATTGAAACATCGATTTCCTTATCATCGCGCGACCACTCACGCTAGCCGGCACGAAGATACCGGCGATATGCCCCACACCGGGCAACACCGCGGCGGTTACGTTAACGGCGAGCGCCTGAACGGCGAAGTTAAGGTCGGCGCAGGCATCGGGGCAGCACGACATGCGCGACGCTCCCACACACCGCGTGGGGGGCACTGCTGGCTTCGTCGGTGGCTTGCCGGTCAGCGGACAGTTGGGGTACGCCGTCGCTGCATTGGTTGACGGCAGCAGAAGAGTCGCCGCCAGCAGCGCCGTGAGGAGCATCGCCGCGATGAAGTGACTAGAAGTCTTCGCCAGCGAAGTGGCCATGATGGCGAGAGCTGTGAGTTGGGCGACGCTCGCTGGCGAGCAGCAACTGGCACTGGAAACTACTAGTTCCACACCGCGGCTGGAACAGAACTAAAGAGGGAGCGCGGATCAGGCTGACTGCTGTTTCTAGGTTGCACTTGAACTTGCGTATGCTCATGGTGGTGTAATCGCGTCGCGTCGCGATAAGAGAATCTCGTGTAAGGGGCACAGAGAATCTGGGGCCGGCAAGGCACTCCGACCGAACCGCCAAACTTATCCACAGCCCTACTGGGGACTCGTTAGACGAACCACCTTTGCCCTCAAATGGAGGGAACCTCGCAACCTTAGCTAGGAAAAATGATAAGGGCAGTGTTTCAGACGCTCCTTCAAGCTGCGTCGGAATTGTGTATAAACGAGGTAAACATTTGCAAGGAAAATGTATTAAATTATTATTAGAGAAAGCAATGTACTATTCTCATCCCATATATTAAAAAAGCTTGCATCTTCATTCAACAGCGTTATTACATGTGGAATTCAAATATTCAGCAATGCAATTCAATTCAATGCAACAGACTAAAATGCCAAGCACAAGGGAATGTCGCTCCTTGTCCAAAACCTGAACGTTGGCCTGGCCTGCCACCACGCCTGAATTGAATCTCACACCTCCGCCATGAGCACAACCATCAGCAGCGGCAGAACTGCCACAGCCAGAGAGGTTCCACTCGGTCCAGCAGCCTTGGGGGGAGGAGAGGGAATAGGGCCAGCGGGAGGAGGAGAGGGGATAGGGCCAGCGGGAGCAGAAGACACAGATGGGGGTGACGGAGACACAACGCTTGGGGGAGGAGCACCGGTAATGGGCGCTGGCGGGGAGGGGGTAGGCGGAGAAAGGGCAGGGGCAGGAGCGGAGGGACCAGGAGCAGGAGCAGGGGGCGTAGGAGTAGGAGTGTAGGGGTAAGGAGCGTTGACGTCGCCATTAGCGTCAGGGAAAGGCCGGGTGGCGTTGGAGTAGGGAAAGCCTGCGCAGATGGCCGGGTCGAGGGGGCGGCCCGACACGTTCTTTGCCGCCGTCATGTTGACCGCACCGGGCGGGCAGGTGGCGGGGATGGTGAGCGGGTCGCAGGACAGGGGGAGGACCGGGATCAACGTGGGACCCCCGTAGCACGCTGTGTCCTGCATGTGGTGGAGGGAGGTGGGAGGTGGGTGGTGGGCATGACAAGTTCAAGGAGCAGCAAGGAGCAGCAGAGCAAGGGAGAGGTGGGCGAGGAAGCCTTGCAGCATGTGCATAACGGGGGTGGTGTGGTGGGTGGTTGAGTAGTGGGAGGTGGGTGGTGGGAGGTGGGAGGTGGGAGGTGGGCATGGAAAGGTCAAGCAGCAGTGAGCAGCAACGCACGAAAGAAGCTGGCAAGAAATAGGAGCGCGCGCAAGCTGCTGTGATGTGAAAGCGAGCGACCGAATAGACTACCCTGGAGCGCGCTGACTTGGGGTCGACCCGCAAATGGACTCACGGCGAAGGTGGCGTTGAAGCCGGGGATGTGCTGCGCGACGATCGGCACGAGCAACAGCTGGAGCATGTCCTCGAGGAACGCCTCGGTCAATTGGCCTATCACGAGTTGCCCCACTGCACGCGACACGGAACGCCACAGCAACACGGAATCGGACAGGCGAATGGAGATCGGAAGGATATTCTAAAGGGTGGAGCGAAACCACTGTGATTTCGGGATGGAGAGAATCTAAAGGAAAGTCGAAAAGCGCGACAGGAAGGAGCGAATCTACTGTAACACGGGAACACGGATCTGACATATTATCCAGTAGCAGGCGTTGGTAATCGCCGTCAAGTAATCGCCACGGCAGACGTGCAGCATGTATTTCCCGGGCTTGCCCGTGAGGTAGTTGCCCGAGTCTGCCACACAAGCCGGCGAGAACGCGGGGGCAGAAACGGGGGGTGAGACGGGGGGAATACGGCGAGGAAGAGGGGGAGGAGGGCGGGGAACGGGCGCGGTGAGGCGCGGGGAAGGCAAGCGGTTAGCGGCTGCGAGTTAATTGCTGCAGAGTGTTGAACGGAAGGAGTGGGATTCGTTAGGTATGCAGTGTTTTGGTTGAAGTTGGTTCAATGTGATGGCTATCTCACCGGGATTGCACTGCACGGCGCAGGCGAGTTGCTCGACGATGTGCGCGCAGATCTCATTACCCTTCATGAACGTACCGATCTGCACGCACGAAACGCACGCGAGCACGCACACATAGTACACGCACAAGACAAGACTGCTTGCTTGGTTCCTTCCCCAGAGCGGCAGGTGAAAGCGTGTAGACGAACGCTGACCAAAACGCATGCAGGCAGGCGGCACTGATGCTGCGTTTACATTGAAACATCGATTCCCGGTGTATCATCGCGCGACCACTCACGCTAGCCGCCACGAAGGAGACGTGGTCGATATCAGCCACCTTGGGCCACACCGCGGCGGTTACGTTAACGCCGAGCGCCTGAACGGCGAAGTTAAGGTCGGCGCAAGCATCGGGGCAGCACGAGAGGTTGGATGCTCCCACACACCGCGTGGGGGGCACCGTTGGCTTCGTCGGTGGCTTGCCGGTCAGCGGACAGTTGGGGTACGCCGTCGCGGCATTGGTACTAGACGGCAGCAGAAGCGTCGCCGCCAGCAGCGCCGTGAGAAGCTTCGCCGCGATGAAGCCGCGACTCGAATTCTTCGTGACCAGCATGATAGTGGTCATGATCATGGCGAGTGCTGAGAGCTGGACGACCCTCGACGCAGGTCAGCTCAGCAGCAGGCGGCAAACAGAAACTACTACCACACTTGGACAGAAAAAATAGTGAGTCGACATGAGGGAGGGACCGCGGATCTGGCTGACTTTGCCGGGTCGTAGCGTATGTGCTGCTCATAATGGGCGAGGTGAGAGCAGCCCAGGGCCGCACTGACAATATGAGCCGGCAAGGCTCTCCGCCGACCGAACCGCTGACAATCTTATCCACGCCCTACTGGGCGCTCGTTAGTCGCACACTGCCTTTCCCTTATCGAATCGACTGAACCCAGCAGGGGCTTTTCGCCTACCTCGTTACCTTCGCCTCGGGAAAAAAATGTTCAGCAACTCAGTAATTGTTGTCCCACCTGGAGTTTCCTTGTCTGTGATCATCCCCTTCGACCCTGTGCTACTCGCTGCATGCCTCTCCCTCTGTGTCACTCTTACGAAAAAAATACTTTAACGATCTCAAAGTGATTTCTTGGCTAATTTCCGATCAGACAGCTCAGCACATCACGTGGGCTTTGGGACTTCACGACACGACGTTCCAGCAGATCAGCCAAAAAAAATAGCGTGCTTGGGAGGTTGACACTAGGGATTTTTTAGAGGGACAAAACTTTCAGCAGTGCGCATCTAGAATCAAGCTCAGACAGGGCATGGTTTCACCGTCCGGTTAAACTGATAAAGCAGGCTGAATCTCTAGCGATGAGAACGCTGGCCATGGTGGTACATGCGACGAATGTTGTTTTAGCAGTATGGTGGCCGAAACTCACTCTGAAAAACAGGCTAAACAGGGTAAACCGCCCTGCAATCCAGAGGCCTGGTGAGGTGGGGAGTATGGTATGGGGAGGTGACGGAGTGGTATAGAGGGAGGAGGAAGAATAGAGAAGCGAGGATATGGAATTGCAGAGGAAGAGGGGGAGTTGGAACAGAAGAAGGATGGAGCAAGAATGGTGGGAACAGGTGCGCAGAGAGGGTCAAGGTGCGAGACAGGATGGTTGAGGTGGGGTGATTATGACTAGAGCGGGGGAGCGAGCAGGATGGGTGAGCGAAAAGGGAGCGAGCAGGAGGGGTGAGTGGAAGAGGGAGCGAGTAGGAGGGGTGAGTGAAAGGGAGAGCGAGCAGGAAGGTTGAGTGAAAGGGAGAGCGAGCAGGAGCGGTGAGTAAAAAGGAGCGAGCAGGGGGGATGAGTGAAAGGGAGCGAGCAGGAGGGGTGAGTGAAAGGGAGCGAGCAGGAGGGGTGAGTGAAAGGGAGCGAGCACGAGGGGTGAACGAAAGGGAGCGAGCAGAGCAAGAGGGGTGAGTGAAAGAGAGCGAGCCGGAGGGGTGAGTGAAAGGGAGAGAGCAGGAGGGGTGAGTGGAAGAGGGAGCGAGTAGGAGGGGTGAGTGAAAGGGAGAGCGAGCAGGAGGGGTGAGTGAAAGGGAGCGAGCAGGACGGGTGAGCGAAAGGGAGCGAGCAGAGCAAGAGGGGTGAGTGAAAGAGAGCGAGCAGGAGGGGTGAACGAAAGGGAGCGAGCAGAGCAAGAGGGGTGAGTGAAATAGATCGAGCAGGAGGGGTGAGTGAAAGGGAGCGAGCAGGAGGGGTGAGTGAAAGGGAGCGAGCAGGAGGGGTGAGTGAAAGGGAGCGAGCAGGAGGGGTGAGTGAAAGGGAGCGAGCACGAGGGGTGAACGAAAGGGAGCGAGCAGAGCAAGAGGGGTGAGTGAAAGAGAGCGAGCCGGACGGGTGAGTGAAAGGGAGAGAGCAGGAGGGGTGAGTAAAAAGGAGCGAGCAGGGGGGTGAGTGAAAGGGAGCGAGCAGGACGGGTGAGCGAAAGGGAGCGAGCAGAGCAAGAGGGGTGAGTGAAAGAGAGCGAGCAGGAGGGGTGAACGAAAGGGAGCGAGCAGAGCAAGAGGGGTGAGTGAAATAGATCGAGCAGGAGGGGTGAGTGAAAGGGAGCCAGCAGGAGGGGTGAGTGAAAGGGAGCGAGCAGGAGGGGTGAGTGAAAGGGAGCGAGCAGGAGGGGTGAGTGAAAGGGAGCGAGCACGAGGGGTGAACGAAAGGGAGCGAGCAGAGCAAGAGGGGTGAGTGAAAGAGAGCGAGCCGGACGGGTGAGTGAAAGGGAGAGAGCAGGAGGGGTGAGTAAAAAGGAGCGAGCAGGGGGGTGAGTGAAAGGGAGCGAGCAGGACGGGTGAGCGAAAGGGAGCGAGCAGAGCAAGAGGGGTGAGTGAAAGAGAGCGAGCAGGAGGGGTGAACGAAAGGGAGCGAGCAGAGCAAGAGGGGTGAGTGAAATAGATCGAGCAGGAGGGGTGAGTGAAAGGGAGCGAGCAGGAGGGGTGAGTGAAAGGGAGCGAGCAGGAGGGGTGAGTGAAAGGGAGCGAGCACGAGGGGTGAACGAAAGGGAGCGAGCAGAGCAAGAGGGGTGAGTGAAAGAGAGCGAGCCGGACGGGTGAGTGAAAGGGAGAGAGCAGGAGGGGTGAGTAAAAAGGAGCGAGCAGGGGGGTGAGTGAAAGGGAGCGAGCAGAGCAAGAGGGGTGAGTGAAAGAGAGCGAGCAGGAAGGGTGAACGAAAGGGAGCGAGCAGAGCAAGAGGGGTGAGTGAAATAGATCGAGCAGGAGGGGTGAGTGAAAGGGAGCGAGCAGGAGGGGTGAGTGAAAGGGAGCGAGCAGGAGGGGTGAGTGAAAGGGAGCGAGCAGGAGGGGTGAGTGAAAGGGAGCGAGCACGAGGGGTGAACGAAAGGGAGCGAGCAGAGCAAGAGGGGTGAGTGAAAGAGAGCGAGCAGGAGGGGTGAACGAAAGGGAGCGAGCAGAGCAAGAGGGGTGAGTGAAATAGATCGAGCAGGAGGGGTGAGTGAAAGGGAGCGAGCAGGAGGGGTGAGTGAAAGGGAGCGAGCAGGAGGGGTGAGTGAAAGGGAGCGAGCAGGAGGGGTGAGTGAAAGGGAGCGAGCAGGAGGGGTGAGTGAAAGGGAGCGAGCAGGAGGGGTGAGTGAAAGGGAGCGAGCAGGAGGGGTGAGTGAAAGGGAGAGAGCAGGAGGGGTGCGTGAAAGGGAGCGAGCAGGAGGGGTGAGTGAAAGGGAGCGAGCAGGAGGGGTGAGTGAAAGGGAGCGAGCAGGAGGGGTGAACGAAAGGGAGCGAGCAGAGCAAGAGGGGTGAGTGAAATAGATCGAGCAGGAGGGGTGAGTGAAAGGGAGCGAGCAGGAGAGGTGAGTGAAAGGGAGCGAGCAGGAGGGGTGAGTGAAAGGGAGCGAGCAGGAGGGGTGAGTGAAAGGGAGCGAGCAGGAGGGGTGAGTGAAAGGGAGCGAGCAGGAGGGGTGAGTGAAAGGGAGCGAGCAGGAGGGGTGAGTGAAAGGGAGCGAGCAGGAGGGGTGAGTGAAAGGGAGCGAGAAGGAGGGGTGAGTGAAAGGGAGCGAGCAGGAGGGGTGAGTGAAAGGGAGCGAGAAGGAGGGGTGAGTGAAAGGGAGCGAGCAGGAGGGGTGAGTGAAAGGGAGCGAGCAGGAGGGGTGAGTGAAAGGGAGCGAGCAGGAGGGGTGAGTGAAAGGGAGCGAACAGGAGGGATGAGTGAAAGGGAGCGAGCAGGAGGGGTGAGTGAAAGGGAGCGAGCAGGAGGGGTGAGTGAAAGGGAGCGAGCAGGAGGGGTGAGTGAAAGGGAGCGAGCAGGAGGGGTGAGTGAAAGGGAGCGAGCAGGAGGGGTGAGTGAAAGGGAGCGAGCAGGAGGGGTGAGTGAAAAGGAGCGAGCAGGAGGGGTGAGTGAAAGGGAGCGAGCAGGAGGGGTGAGTGAAAAGGAGCGAGCAGGAGGGGTGAGTGAAAAGGAGCGAGCAGGAGGGGTGAGTGAAAAGGAGCGAGCAGGAGGGGTGAACGAAAGGGAGCGAGCAGAGCAAGAGGGGTGAGTGAAATAGATCGAGCAGGAGGGGTGAGTGAAAAGGAGCGAGCAGGAGGGGTGAACGAAAGGGAGCGAGCAGAGCAAGAGGGGTGAGTGAAATAGATCGAGCAGGAGGGGTGAGTGAAAGGGAGCGAGCAGGAGGGGTGAGTGAAAGGGAGCGAGCAGGAGGGGTGAGTGAAAGGGAGCGAGCAGGAGGGGTGAGTGAAAGGGAGCGAGCAAGAGGGGTGAGTGAAAGGGAGCGAGCAGGAGGGGTGAGTGAAAGGGAGCGAGCAGGAGGGGTGAGTGAAAGGGAGCGAGCAGGAGGGGTGAGTGAAAGGGAGCGAGCAGGAGGGGTGAGTGAAAGGGAGCGAGCAGGAGGGGTGAGTGAAAGGGAGCGAGCAGGAGGGGTGAGTGAAAGGGAGCGAGCAGGAGGGGTGAGTGAAAGGGAGCGAGCAGGAGGGGTGAGTGAAAGGGAGAGAGCAGGAGGGGTGAGTGAAAGGGAGCGAGCAGGAGGGGTGAGTGAAAGGGAGCGAGCAGGAGGGGTGAGTGAAAGGGAGCGAGCAGGAGGGGTGAACGAAAGGGAGCGAGCAGAACAAGAGGGGTGAGTGAAAGGGAGAGAGCAGGAGGGGTGAGTGAAAGGGAGCGAGCAGGAGGGGTGAGTGAAAGGGAGCGAGCAGGAGGGGTGAGTGAAAGGGAGCGAGCAGGAGGGGTGAACGAAAGGGAGCGAGCAGAGGAAGAGGGGTGAGTGAAATAGATCGAGCAGGAGGGGTGAGTGAAAGGGAGCGAGCAGGAGGGGTGAGTGAAAGGGAGCGAGCAGGAGGGGTGAGTGAAAGGGAGCGAGCAGGAGGGGTGAGTGAAAGGGAGCGAGCAGGAGGGGTGAGTGAAAGGGAGCGAGCAGGAGGGGTGAGTGAAAAGGAGCGAGCAGGAGGGGTGAGTGAAAGGGAGCGAGCAGGAGGGGTGAGTGAAAAGGAGCGAGCAGGAGGGGTGAGTGAAAAGGAGCGAGCAGGAGGGGTGAGTGAAAAGGAGCGAGCAGGAGGGGTGAGTGAAAAGGAGCGAGCAGGAGGGGTGAACGAAAGGGAGCGAGCAGAGCAAGAGGGGTGAGTGAAATAGATCGAGCAAGAGGGGTGAGTGAAAGGGAGCGAGCAGGAGGGGTGAGTGAAAGGGAGCGAGCAGGAGGGGTGAGTGAAAGGGAGCGAGCAGGAGGGGTGAGTGAAAGGGAGCGAGCAGGAGGGGTGAGTGAAAGGGAGCGAGCAGGAGGGGTGAGTGAAAGGGAGCGAGCAGGAGGGGTGAGTGAAAGGGAGCGAGCAGGAGGGGTGAGTGAAAGGGAGCGAGCAGGAGGGGTGAGTGAAAGGGAGCGAGCAGGAGGGGTGAGTGAAAGGGAGCGAGCAGGAGGGGTGAGTGAAAGGGAGCGAGCAGGAGGGGTGAGTGAAAGGGAGCGAGCAGGAGGGGTGAGTGAAAGGGAGCGAGCAGGAGGGGTGAGTGAAAAGGAGCGAGCAGGAGGGGTGAGTGAAAGGGAGCGAGCAGGAGGGGTGAGTGAAAAGGAGCGAGCAGGAGGGGTGAGTGAAAAGGAGCGAGCAGGAGGGGTGAGTGAAAAGGAGCGAGCAGGAGGGGTGAACGAAAGGGAGCGAGCAGAGCAAGAGGGGTGAGTGAAATAGATCGAGCAGGAGGGGTGAGTGAAAGGGAGCGAGCAGGAGGGGTGAGTGAAAGGGAGCGAGCAGGAGGGGTGAGTGAAAGGGAGCGAGCAGGAGGGGTGAGTGAAAGGGAGAGAGCAGGAGGGGTGAGTGAAAGGGAGCGAGCAGGAGGGGTGAGTGAAAGGGAGCGAGCAGGAGGGGTGAGTGAAAGGGAGCGAGCAGGAGGGGTGAGTGAAAGGGAGAGAGCAGGAGGGGTGAGTGAAAGGGAGCGAGCAGGAGGGGTGAGTGAAAGGGAGCGAGCAGGAGGGGTGAGTGAAAGGGAGCGAGCAGGAGGGGTGAACGAAAGGGAGCGAGCAGAGCAAGAGGGGTGAGTGAAATAGATCGAGCAGGAGGGGTGAGTGAAAGGGAGCGAGCAGGAGGGGTGAGTGAAAGGGAGCGAGCAGGAGGGGTGAGTGAAAGGGAGCGAGCAGGAGGGGTGAGTGAAAAGGAGCGAGCAGGAGGGGTGAGTGAAAAGGAGCGAGCAGGAGGGGTGAACGAAAGGGAGCGAGCAGAGCAAGAGGGGTGAGTGAAATAGATCGAGCAGGAGGGGTGAGTGAAAGGGAGCGAGCAGGAGGGGTGAGTGAAAGGGAGCGAGCAGGAGGGGTGAGTGAAAGGGAGCGAGCAGGAGGGGTGAGTGAAAGGGAGCGAGCAGGAGGGGTGAGTGAAAGGGAGCGAGCAGGAGGGGTGAGTGAAAGGGAGCGAGCAGGAGGGGTGAGTGAAAGGGAGCGAGCAGGAGGGGTGAGTGAAAGGGAGAGAGCAGGAGGGGTGAGTGAAAGGGAGCGAGCAGGAGGGGTGAGTGAAAGGGAGCGAGCAGGAGGGGTGAGTGAAAGGGAGCGAGCAGGAGGGGTGAACGAAAGGGAGCGAGCAGAGCAAGAGGGGTGAGTGAAATAGATCGAGCAGGAGGGGTGAGTGAAAGGGAGCGAGCAGGAGGGGTGAGTGAAAGGGAGCGAGCAGGAGGGGTGAGTGAAAGGGAGCGAGCAGGAGGGGTGAGTGAAAGGGAGCGAGCAGGAGGGGTGAGTGAAAAGGAGCGAGCAGGAGGGGTGAGTGAAAAGGAGCGAGCAGGAGGGGTGAGTGAAAAGGAGCGAGCAGGAGGGGGATCTGGGGGGGCATCACCTGGTGCACGTCCAGGTCGACTATTGCCACGCGCTGCACTCGCTTCATCACCGCCCTCTCGCCCCCACCACCGCTCTTGGCTCCCTTCAGCAGCCCTCTCCACACGTACGGCTGATTGCCCTTACCACATGCGCTTGCTCCTGAAGGTGAATCAGGTAACACCAGCGGCGTGGTGGGCCCTGTGCCTGTGCCTGTGCCTGTGCCTGTGATTGCAGTGATGCTGCTTAGGTTGGTGACAGCACTTATGCTAGTGGTGGTGGCAGTGGCGGTGGCAGGGTGGGTGCCTTTAGGCCATGGGAGCAGGGAGGAGGCAGTGAGGGCAGCGGCTGTAACAGCAAGGTCTTTCAGAATGAAGTAGCCCAACCTGTGGCCCTGAAATGCATGGTGCATGCCTGGTGGATGGGTGAGTGGAGGTGGCGATAAAATAGACATGAGCATCAGGGGTAGGAGGGCGCCTATAAGTCATATGTGTTTCGCACACAGTGATACCATTGCTATGGTCTAGTGGTTATGACGTCAGACTCTGAATCTGAAAGGCCGAGTTCAATTCTCGGTAGGACCTTTCTTGTTACCATTCTGAAGGAATGCCCTCTCACCTCGCCCCCATCGATCCCATGCCTCCCAGCACCTACCATATCAGACTACCCCACTTTCAGCTGGACTCTTGGACTACCCACCTACGCCACAATCCAAAAGCAGCACGGCTGCCGCCCCCAACCCTCCTCCCCCTCACATTGCCCCGCACATATCCCAACTCCCATTCTCTGCTACAGGCCCTTCTCCCTCCATCACCTGACCTGGTACCTTCCCCAGTCAATGCAGTCAAAAAAAGCAGGCTCAACAGTCAATGACAGACTTGCCGCCTCGCCCTCATGCACTCGCAATGCAACTCTCGGTCACTCGACAGTCAACCTGTTGTGTGTGCCACTGCCGCCTCCCCACTCCCCCCCAGAGCTGCATGCGCACATGCTCCCCTGCGGCGCTGTCAATCAATCAGCCAGCTGTATTTGAAGAATCCTTACCAAACCCCTTCCTCCCCACCCCGCACTCCCTCCCCCCTCTCCTCCTGTGCAGCCTACCTCCTGCCGTGCTGCATACAGGCCCGTGCTCCAACGCCAGCTGTGCCGTCTCCAACATCCCTGCCACCTGGGGGAAGGCGGAGGGGAGAAGGGCAGGAGGGAGGGAGGAGAGAGGGAGAGGTAGAAATCGAGGAGGAAAAGAGGTGGGGAGGAGAGAACAGGAAACGAGGAAGGAGTGGAGAGGAGATGGGAGGGGAGAGAAGAGCAGCTGAGACAAGGTTAAAGAAGCTCTGTGTGAGAAAGCATAGAGACTGGTGCATGGTTACGTGAAGCAGGAGGCAGAACATTGCACACACATGCTTCAAACCGGAACAGCAGCGCTTTAGCACCCTCTCACCCATGCAGCCCTCGCACCCACACCACACCAATACCAACACATACTGCGCCGCCCGCCCGCCCAACCCACTCCCCTACCCCAGCGCACCTCAGCGCACCTCGGCGAGAGTTCGTCTAGCGAGGGTGGGCGACCAGGGGAAGCCAATGCGGCGCATGGCAGCCGAGGGGAGCGCGCCCTGGCAGACCTGCGCCAGGTACTGCGCACAGTGCACCTGGGGGGCGGGGGAAAGGGGAGGGGGAAAGGGAGGGGAAGGGGGGGGGGAGGGAGGGGGAAGAGCGGAAGAGCGAAATGGGAGGAGGGAGGAGGAGTGGAGAGTGGGGAGGAAGGAGGGGTGGGTTGAAAGAAGTGGTTTGGACAGGGAGAAGGGGAATATGGTGCACGGTAAACATAGAAGGGAAAGATGGTACATGGTAAGACTAGAAGGGGAATATGGTGTATGGGAGTGACAATGCGCTACGGGCGACAGGGTGGAAGGTTGCACGGAAGAGGGGTTGACAGAGGGGGTGGTGATGCCGTGCCGGTGTAGGGCGTGGAGAGCACGGTCGTATAAGAAAGAGATGCACTATCGCCATACATGTGGCGTGCATGTGGCGTGCATGTGGCGTGCACGTGGCGTGCATGTGGCGTGTGAGGGAATGTATGGGAGGGGAAGGAGGAACGGGGGAATGGAGGGGAGGGAGGGGTTGGACGGACTTACTCAAAGCAGGTCGGAAGCGAGAGGCGTTGGGTGGGGGGTGACCACCTGGGAGGGCAGAAGAGGGCGAGTGAGAGCGATGATAGGGGGAGCACGGGTCTATAAACATGCAGGGTAACGAGAAGAAATAGGGATATAAGGGGAAGGTGGGGGTGCACATATGCAGGTGCGAGGGCGAAAGGGCTGGGAGATAAGCATTGAGCAGCGCATTGCAGGTACGTCCGTCCACACACCCCTCCCCGTCGCAGTCCCTTGCTGCCCCCTTACGGCTTACCCAACCACACCACCTCCCCTCCTGTCCTCCCCACACGGATGCTCCTCCCGTCCCGTCAGTCGACTCGCACGTGCCTGCCTACTGACCCCATTCACCCCTTCATGCACACTCACCCTCTTCACCACCTGGGAGGGCGCAGGAGGGCGAGTGGGTGCGAGATGAAATATGGGTAAGAAGGGGTACGTGGATGGGGGGATACACCTGCACGTGGGAGCACTCATTGAGCAGTGCACTGCAGGTTCTTCCAACAACCCCTCCCTCTGCCATTCCCTCCCTGCCCCCTACGGCTTACCCAACCACACCACCTCCATCCCATCCTCCCCAACATAGATGCTCCTCCCGTCAATCCACTCGCACCTTCTTATTGACCCATTCACCCTTTTCCCGCAAACCCGCCCCTTCTCCCTTCAATCCCCCGGATTTTCCGCCGTTTCCCTTCCCCCTCCGTCGACCCTCCACTGCGCGCGGAACTCGCCTGCGCGGGGCGCACCACACCCTGCGCCCATCTGCGCAGCCTCCCGCACCCCCCCCCCGCCCCCTCCGCGCGCGCGCCCATCCGCTCCGCCTCGCCCTGCCGGCTCCGCGGGCGACGACTACGGACGCGCGGAAAAACTCCGCGCAGGAGCGGAGCGGCGCAGCGGAGGGCCTGGGGGACGCGAGGGGACGGGGTCGGTGGCGTGCGGGCTTGGCGGACTGGCGGGATGGAAGTATCGCTAGTAGCGACTCGGAGCCCATGGTTGATTGCGCGCGTGGCCATGGGCGCGGCGCGCACGAGCAGCGCGGCGGCGCGCGTGGATCGCAAGAGTCGCGGCTGACGTGGGAAGAGTGGGGATGCGAGAAAGTGCGTGCTCTGGGCTGAGAGCGCGGCCTCGACGGCAGTTACTAAATGAACTGTGTACGCGGTACAAGCTCGATACACAGAATAATTTAGCCATGCTGCCCATTTACAGTTCATGATTCGTGGCTCAGGACGGTTCCACACGGTGGAGCGGTTTTCAAGGTTAGATCGCAGAGAGCGTAGATGCAGGAGGTGCATGCGCGTGACCACTCAATGGGATAGGGATGAAAGCAATTGATTGGTTGGTGACCGAGGTCCACCTGTACAGTATTAGGGTGCTTCGCTAAGAAAGGCCCCTGTTTGTGGCCTGGCCACTGAAAGGGCGACGAAAGGGCCAGCGACCAAAAATAGGATTTGTTTAGGGAAGCGACAAATGCAATTCTGTCGTATGGCCCTGGCTGACCAGCAGACATGAGTTTACGGACATGCTTCACCAATCTTGCATTCTCATTCAATAGCATGCTCATAAGGTAGTTGGATATCAAAGCAACCACGAGTCTCAAAGCAAACCACAGAGCATTACAACGCAATAGGCCACGATGTAAACCACAGTAGGTCAGACTCAAGAGGCATTCCTTGTGGGCTACTGGGCCTAAACTCAGACCCGTGAGCATGCCTCACAGCCTGCACGCCAGAAGTGAATCTCACACCCCCGCCATGAGCACAACCATCAGCAGCGGCAGAACCGCCGCAGCCACAGAGACTCCACTCGCCCCAGCAGCCTTGGGGGGAGGAGGAGGGGGGCTGGGGACAGGCGGAGGAGGAGATGCAGATGGGGGGGGCGGAGACGCGGTGCTTGGGGGGGGAGAAGCGGTAGTGGGGGCTGGCGCAGGGGCGGAGGGTGAAGGAGTAGGAACGGGAGGCGAAGGAGCAGGAGCGGAGGGGGTTGGCGGGCTGGCATTGGGGGGGAAGGGCATGGTGGCGTTGGAGTAGGGGAAGTCAGCGCAGATGGCCGGGTCGAGAGGGCGGCCAGACACGTTCTTGGCGGCCGTCATGTTGACCGCACCGGGCGGGCAGGTGGCGGGGATGGTGAGCGGGTCGCAGCAGAGAGGGGTGACTGGGACCATTGTGGGACCCGAGTAGCATGCGGTTTTCTGCATGGTGAGGGTGGGGGGTGGGAGGTGGGTGGTGGGCACGACAAGTTGAAGCAGAAGCAGTGAGCAGCAGCGCACAGGAGAGGGAAGCAAGGAGACGTTGCAGCATGTGCGTGGCATGGCCGAGAGAAACGAGCGCGCGTGCCAGCGCTTCGGCGTGAAAGCGAGAAACTGGGTTGACTTCGTTAAATCGATGTGACTACGGCTCAACGAGCGCGCGCATCGCACCCGGCGTTGTCTCATCGTCAAATGGACTCACCGTGACGGTGGCGTTGAAGCCGGGGATCTGCTGCGCGACGAGCGGCACGAGCAGCTGCTGGATGATGTCGTCCGGCGTGGTAAAAAAGTCGGCCACCACGATCCCCGCCACTGCACAGCACTCGCGCGCGCGCGCACAACACAGCACACCGCACCATCACGACGAAAAGCGAATATGCGTGTCAGAAAGATACCGGGATGCAGCGATTTGAAGGAGAGACGAAGTGGGCGACAGGAGCGAGTCATGGAAGACCGTTACATGGGAGCGCGGGTCTGACCTTCAAGCGAGGAGCACGCGTCGTAGATGGCCTGCCCGTGGTCCGTGCAGATCTGCAGCATGTACTTGCCGGGCTTGCCCGTGAGGTAGTTGCCGGAGTCTGCCACACACGCCGGCGAGAACGAGGGAGCACACGCGGCGGGCGTGACGGGGGGGAATACGGAGGGGAAGAGGGAGAGGAAGGCGGGGAACGACGGGGGAAGACGGGTGGAAGGCCAGCGGCAAGCGGTTAAGCGACGCAGCAGAGCGCTGAAAGGAACGAGCAAGATTTGTTGGGTATGCACTGTTCTTGTTAAACTTTATCGGATGTGCTGGGTGTGTCTCACCAGGGTTGCACTGCACCGCGCAGGCGAGTTGCTCGACGAGTCGCTCGCACATCTCATTACCCTTCATGATAGGACAGATCTGCACGCACGCGAGCAGACACGCATACATACACACAACGAGACTGCTTGGTTCCTTTTGCAGGGCAGGTGCGTGTAAGCGAACGCCGACAAAAATGCACACATGCACCGATACAACGTTAAATCAATATCGCGGGACCACTCACGCTACTCGGCACGGTAGAGACGTCGATGAGACCCTGCGCAGCGGCTTCCACGGCGGCGGTAACGTTAACGGCGAGCGCCTGAACGGCGAAGTTAATGTCGGAGCACGCGGCGCAGCACGTCAAGTTGGACGCTTCCACACACCGCGTGGGGGGCACTGTTGGCACCGTCGGTGGCTTGCCGGTCAGCGGACAGTTGGGGTACGTCGCTGCATTGGTTGACGGCAGCAGAAGAGTCGCCGCCAGTAGCGCCGTGAGAAGCTTCACAGTGATGAAGCCGCGACTCGAAGTCTTCGCCAGCAAAGTGGCCATGATGGCGAGTGCTGGGAGCTGGGCGGACCTCGCTGGTCAGCTGCAGGTGGCACTGAAAACAACCACACAGCAGCTTGAACACCAAGGCAGAGATTACTAGTCACACTGCACAGACGACCGCGGATTAGACTGACTGATGCTGGGTTGCACACATATGTATGCTCATGCACTGTGTGTGCCCTCTCCGATTGAAGCACCAAGGCATGCGTTGCAAGGGGCACGGAGAATCTGGGACGTGTTCGCATGACTCTCCGTTTGAACCACCGAACCTACTCAGCAATTCCTTATTTGGGGTTTTGAAATGTGGGGCAGCCCGATTTTCTGCAAGAGGCAGCCAGGGACATCCCTAGTGTGTTGGTCTGCTTAGGTTCATGATATAGTATGAACCAGCGCAAATCAAGTGGAGATTGGTTCTGGGAATATCTTGGGCCAGCATAGGAAAGAACTTTGAGTCGCGAAAACTGTATCCAATGTATGTAATGGTGACAAGAAAGGCTGCCAAGGTTCGAAGCAATGCATGACCCCTTCAAAATCATTATATATATGGTTATCGTAATTTTGTTCTTGATAAAAAGAGCATATTAGCGCATTTACTTCATATAAAAAATGTAATTGCTTTTCTCATACCAGACTAGTTTAAAAATTGGTTCAATGAGCCAACATGCTCCTTGATTATGTCAATGAAACAGAACACAAATTTATTTTACAGTGCTGATTTACGAATGATCAATGTGTGTTTTTTTTTATTGCATTTCCCTTAGAATATTTAGGCAATATATGTGTAATAGAGGTGTCAAGAATAACCATTCTTACGCTAATGGTCGTATTATTTGTACATAACCCAACCCCCTTGCATATATTATCTCGATATATGCTGTAGTAAACATCACGCAAGTCTAAACAATACCGTAGATCCGACATACGTAAGTGGGAAAAAAATGTATAAACTATATGTTGTTGATTGCGAACCAAATATCTCGTTACCGATTGCGCTATTTTGAACAAACAATTAAGCTAAGAGACAACGGCGACCTTTAGGTTGGACCATTGTTTTTTCAAGCGCCTATGCTTCTAAGTCCAAGCATACTGGTAAACATTATATATATAAAACTCCAAACTTGATGAATGCATGTGTAAAAGTACAAACTAGACCTCGGTAGGGCCAACCGTTTAGTGTCTCCAATTGTTAGAGGAGGATGCCGAACAATCCCGTATGCAATTTGCGACCAAGACATGGAAATGTTTGGCCTAGTTCCGTGAACATCTCGCATTCCGTTAGTGTCATGTAATTACTGGACTATTTTTATGCCTCTTAAAGAGCCATACTTTGTTTAAACGGCTTCAAACAAATCTCTGACATCAATTTGGAGTGTTGCGTTGACTCGTATAGGGTTTTATTGCTCGAAAGATTTGGGATGCGCTGAACTTGTGTAGGCAAACCTTCCATTAAAGTGGAAGTACATCTTCAATGTTTTGTTGTTGGGCGAAACAGGTTGGGGTTTGGGGAAATAAAAATTCCCGGGGTAAAGGGAAACCCGCTGCAAAATGGAGGCAACTGACTAGAAACAAAATAGTGTCCTTGCTCGTTCGTCCATTGTTCGAATTTCATATGATTCTCTGATCGCCCGAACCATTCAAGGCACTTGGGTATCTCAGGTCCGATCGGGTCTAAGCAGACCAAGGGCCCGCCGAACAGGGTCTACGGACTTCCCACCTCACCGCAAATTCGAGCCTACCGCGCGGAATCCGGACTAGTTGGACCAAGTCAGACCGACTTCCACGAATCACCACAAGGAAAGCACCACCGAATAGCTACGGGAGAAAACAACGGTAGCCCCAACGTGGCCGAATCGGATTCATTTTGTTGGAGGGAAAGTTTGCCGAACCTCTTTTTACTGGTCTGGGAGCCTGGTTAGCAGCCAAGACCCAAATTTACTCAACGCTGGTCAATACGATATAACCTAGGTTCAAAAGACAGCGGAGGTTAAAAACAATCGCGAAAGCAACTGTTGACGAAGCTCGCCTGCAAAACTCACCACACGCAAACAAGGGTTTTGACAACGATTGACACATTCCCATCCCAGTAAGCGACAGGTAAAAAAACCAAGGCGTGTTAGCGGGCGCAAGAGAGCAACGTGAGAATGGTGGGATTGCCTCGCGCGGAATGCGCTGGTTATGAAGGACAACGTCCCAACCTGGCGCTAGAAATGGTGACAGGGCTCTAAAAGGCGACAGAACAGGCTTAGCGACACTAAAAACCATGGGAGGAGGCAACAGGGTGCGCAAAGGAATGAGAGGTGACGGAATACGGTATTGAAGAGGATTGCCCCATGGAATTGGCCGACGAGAGGTCGTAGCACAGCCGAATGAGTGTGTGCGGCGCGGGATGATAGGAGGAAATACGGAATGAAGTTTGAACGGGAGGCGCGGGATGAGAGGAACAATTGCGGTACGAGTGTGTGAGGCGCGGGATGAGAGGTGGGAAATGCGGAATGGTTGTGTGGCTTGCGGGATGCGAGGGGGAAACGCGGAAGGGGTTTGTGGGGCGCGGGATGCGAGAGGAAACCGCGGAATAGGTGTGTGGGGCGCGGTATGAGAGGAGGAGCCGCGTAAAGGGTGTGTGGTGAGAGGGATGAAGGGAGGAAACGCGGAATGGGTGTGTGGGGCGCGGGATGAGAGGAGGAAACGCCATGTTTGCAGAAGTATTTTTCCTGCTTGCGCTCAGATTGCCCCTCATTTTTTCATCTACTTTGCCTTTCATTCCCAAGCTTACCACCATTTTCCTCTCTTTAATTATCGCCTTACTCGCTTCAGTTACCCCCCTTCTCGCTTTAGTTATCCCCCTGCTCCGTTCAGTTACCCCCCTGCTGCCTTCTCCTGGAAACCCCCTGCTCCCTGCAGGTTCCCCCCGCTCGCTTAAGTTTCCCCCCTGCTCTCTTCACTTTCCCCCCTGCTCCCTACAATTTCCACCCTGCTGCCTTCTCCTGAACACCCCCCCCCTCTCCCCGCATGTTCCCCCCTGTTCCTTTCAGGGTCCCCCCCTGCTCCCTGCAGTTTCACCCCTGCTCCTTACAGTTACCCCCCTGCTCCCTTCAGTTACCCCCTGCATCTGCTGCTTCTCCCTGCGAGGAAGCTGCAAGGAACCTTCGTCCCAGCTTGCTGAGGTCCTCGTCGTCCATTGTATCGGAGCGGCTTAAAAGGAGAAACGGGTGGTTGCACACATCATGGTGCGTGGGTGGGATTGAGGGGAGGGAAGTAAGGAGGACACGGAAAACGGCATGCACATCATGTTGAGGCGTCTCAGATGGTCCAAATCCCCACAGGAAACCCCTGTGTTCCCTTCCTCCCTTCACACTCCTCCCCTCCCATTCTGAGTCGGCCTCACCTCTCACCTTTCCTCCATCCTCCTTGTCTGAGTCGGCGTGTGCAACTGCACTTGCGGCACGGATGGTGCTGTTCATGCGGCTGCTGCTGCGCGAGCGGATGCAGCAGGGCAAGCGGCTGCTGCTGCTCTCCCCCCCCCTCTTCTCCCCCCCCCCCCCCCCCCCACCAAATCGGTCGTCAGTCAGCTTGTGCACAGCCGGCCGCGCGCAGCCAGCCACACTCGCATCCATCTGCACGCGCAGTCGCCGCGCGCACGCAGCCGCGTGCAGCCAGCCGCACACGCAGCCGCGCACACAGCCGCTAGTCGGGAACAGGAGGGGGATGGGCGGGTTGACGGAGGCTCTAGGAGCGGAATCTACCTAGGACAAAGGCAGCCTAGGAACTAACCCGAAGGATACCATCTTAGAATGTGCAAGCGGAATGTGTGTGAACTAGGTAGCATGAGATGAGATACTATGAACCTAAGTTAAGGTGTTGTACCCACTACAATGTACCTCACTGTAGCCTAGCAACCTAACACAATTATATATATTGTTCAACACCAGTTTAACTCCCATCTTTTGCATTGAGAAAATAGTAGAAAAGAAGCACCACATGCTGTAACATTTGCATTGAGTGTCTAATGCAACATTTGCATTAAAGCCCGCGGCCCAAATTCCTGACCGCGCAGGTCAAGTTTTTAAAACTTGACGAAGTGGGCTGTGCAAGCTTTGAAAAGTAGCGCAGCTGCAATTTGGGACTTTCGAAGTCTGAATTTGGCTAGGTTTGGCAAAAAACGCGGGGCTGGCTAGGTTTGGCAAAAAAAACGAATTTCACGAAATCAGAAACACTCGCCAAAACCCAAATCAGTCAAACTCCCTCTCATCATCTTTATAAAACTTGTGCAATTTGGGCCAACGGCTTTAAGGTGTTGTACCCACTACAATGTAACATTTGCATTGAGTAAATAGTAGAAAAGAAGCACCACAGGTACTAAAAACGCACTTGGCGAAATGAAGGTTAGTTATTCAGATATTACACACTACAATGTAGGCAAGTGCTACTTCGCGGCCTTGGCCTTCTTGGCTGCACGTTTCTTCACTGGAGACTTCTTGGTGGCCGAGGACGCTTCTGCGACTGCCTTTGGTGCCTTCTTCTCTGGGGTCTTTGCCTTTGGTGCCTTCTTCTCCGGGGTCTTCGCCTTTGCAGCAGTCTTTTTCAATGCCTTGGGCTTGGTAACCTTCGGAGCCTTCGCAGGAGAAGTCTTGGCAGCAATTGACTTCGCCTTGGGCTTGGCAGTGACCGCTGCAGGCTTTGCCACCTTGGGCTTCGCTGGTGCCTTAGCCGCAGCCGGCTTAGCAGCCGCAGGCTTTTTCACCGCTGGCTTGGCTGGCTTGGCTTCTTCGCCCAGCTTGTAGCTCGCCTTCACCTTCGTCAGCTTGCCAGCCTTGGTAAGATTCTTCAGCTGGACGCTAAGAGTCTTCTTCCAATTGGCAGGAAGGTTCGGATGGTTTTGTTCAATATATTTTGTGATGGCGTGAAGGCTGGAACCGTTTCTCTCCTTCAACGATGTGATTGCGTCGCTCACCATCTGAAACAGTGAAAACCAAATACTTCAGTCACGATAGCACAAGTGGAAAAATGGAGCAGACAGAAACTCTGCGAGTGGACAACGAACCTCAATATACTTCGGGTGGTCACTCTTCGTCCTGGCTTTCGCTCCTGCAGGTTTCGCCGCCTCTTCAGCCTTCGCAGCCTTCGGTTTCGCAGCTTTCGTAGCTGCTGCCCTTGCCTTGCCAGTCGCCTTAGGCTTCTCTGCCTCGGCCTTGTTATCCGGGGATGGCTCCTCCATGGTTTCCGGTGGTGCCTCGGGCGCTGCTGTCTCAGCCGGAGCAGGCTCTACTGATTCTACAGGCGCCTCAGGCTCAACGGCCGGGGCGACTGGAGCAGGCTCCTGATTAACCTCTGTGGTAGCCAGATTGGATTTCGGAGCAGACATAAAAGACTAACGGAGCAAGTTTGGTAGGAGACTTCTGAGGTAGATGGACACTAAAGTGAAAGAATAGTTGAAACCCCACAATGCAGTGGAAAAGAGCGAGCAACGGGAGAATGGTTGGGAGGATATGCTTGCGAGGGGCAGTTTGTGCTCAACTCCGCTCCAGTGGAAGGGCTGTGGTCGAATTGGAAACACAGCTTGGGAAATCGGTTTTGCGAGGAGTCCCTGCATCCCGCAACTGACGGTGCCTTATCGACGGCCACGAATCTTTATGACGAGAGGTCGCTCGTTCCCTGATCTGCATAACTAGTTCCGGTAATGTCAATAACTCATACACTAACATAAAACAAACTTCGTATAAATTGCTTAACAGTCCGATTTACAACTTTCACGATTTTTGTGATGCTGGGTCCATCAAAATGCAACATATAATCCATATATTGGGCAATACCAATCAATTTATTTGCATATAGTGATCATCAATCGCAATCAGTTATTGTTCCATTTAAATGTGCCAATTCTTGTTCACGCCTTCTACAACTCTCAACTGATCAGTGGTAAACCATTACACAGGTGTCATCTATTGAGTTTCTGCACACTGTTGCATGATTTGAGCATTGGTTTTAACTAATTTCATCTTGGAAAAATAGAGCCGAGTCACGGTTAGCTGTAGTCGTCAGCTCCTAGTTTTTAGGGGGGGGAAAGGACATAAAATACACCTACAGAACCTAGCAAGAGCTGGTCTTCGAGCACTGCCACAATAGCTGAAGCAGGTGAAAGATAAGCAGAAGCAGCTCGCAACCGCTGCTGCTGCATGTTACCCAGGTGTACGCGAATGTTCAACCTAGCCTGGCTTCACGAGCCAACACCTGTGGGGTGAAGGGGGAAAGGCGGGGAAAGGGCAAGGACTGAACATTAGGGTGCGGAGGAAAGGAACTGCAGTCATGTGTCACTCTAGAGTTGCTGTTAGAGAGGAGGAGAGATGGGAAAAGAGGGCGAGATATGGGGGGGCAGGAGGAGGGGAGGGGGAAAGAGAAAGAGGCGTGGGCGATTGGGTAAGTGTGGGAGGATGGGAGGGAGGAACATGAGGAGGGAGAGTTGGAAGTGTGTGGGAAACGAGGCCAGCAGTGAACCAGAAGAAGAATCAAATCCAGGGGGGTAGACGTTAGCCAGTGTCAAAATAGTGGGGGGAATTGACAGCGGATGAGCCTTAATGAGTGCGGTGGGTGGTGGGGGGAGTGGAATATGGCAGCTTAAATGTCTTCATCACACTCTCGTGTGAGTGCTGCACTTTCCCTCCTCCCTCCAACCCTCCCTCCCGAAGCATGACGAAACCATGTAAGGCGAATTTACAGCCAAGGAAGCGATGATAATGACGGCTGGGGATAAAGTCATAGGTTCAACTCAACATTTCCGGTTTCCCAATTCCAGCTTGCCGCTTCAGTTGCATTCATGGAAGGGACTCCAGGTCCTGCCTCCTGACCATTCTATCAACTCCTCAATTTATGTCCTGTCTGTGGGCAACCATGCTTTGGCACAATGCTGTGCATTGGGGTGCAGAGGGGTGAGGTGCGGTTACGGTGGGTGCATGCGCACCTCGTCGGCGAACTTGATGAGGATGGTGGTGCGTGGCCGTTGCTGCCCCTCCACCTGCACGTAGTGAGCTGTCACTCGCGCCGGGAAGCCCGCATTGTCCAGCACGCCCTGTGCACGTGGGGGGAGGGGCGAGGGGGGAGGGGGGAGGACGGAGGGAGGCCGAGAAGAGTTTGGTCCGGTGGAGAGCGGCACAGAGGCATTGAGAGGCACAGGGCAGTGAAGAATGAGGCGGGTGCTGGTGATGGAATGTGGTGATGCACAGAGAGGCATGCGGGGGTGAGGGCATGGGGAGTGAGGGCATGGGGAGTGAGGGCATGGGGAGTGAGGGCATGGGGAGTGGAGGCCACAGGAGTGAGGCACCTGTGGCAGACACTACAAGTTGAATGGATCGTGCTGTAGGGACACCGCAAGATGACTTTTGAGTGGACTCAAAACACTACAAGAGACTACCACAAGGTGCATGCACCATGACAGGGGTCACAGGGGCAGATTGCTTGCTCTGTAAGAAGGAGTGTAGGTTGGTGTGCAGGAGTGAACGGTGAGGGAAGGGGCCATCGAACCTTGACAATGCCTGCAACGAAGGCGCCACAGTTGAACGCACCCATGTCTCTAGGCACTGAGATGAACCTGATGCCCACGCACACATGCACACATGCACGCAGACAAACACACGCACACACATGCACAGGCGAGCAGGCAGGTGTGCAGTGAAGAGTGAAGAGCAAGCGGGGTGGAATGGAGAGAGCGAAGGGCCGAGGACGAGAGCGAGGAGTGAGAGAAAGAGGAATGAGAGTGGGGAGCGCGAGAGCACGAAGGGAGCGAGAACATCGAAGAAGGGCTTTTCATGGGAACGAGCAGGGCACGAGCAGGGCACCTGTTGACGAGCAGCTCTTTCTCGCTGATCATGTACTCGTCCTCATGCTCTGTGCTCTTCTCCAGTGAATCCGCCACCTGCCATGCAGTGCACCGCCACACAGACCATTGCGCACATACTTCCGCGTCACCCAACATGAGCGCACGCACAGATGCATGCACGCAGTCTCGCGTAAACGAGCTTTCTCCGACTATTCCTTCATGCACCCTGACTGCCACGTTGCCACTGCACTGATTCCTAACCCCACGAACAAACCCTGCACCGCTTCATGTGGATCGTGCTGCACTCTATTTCTGCCCACTACCATTTGACACACGAACCCCACACACTCTACCCCACCCATTCCTCTCCACACACTTTACCGCCCATTCAAATTCACGCACAGCCCCCTGCAGTGACCGCAGAGCCTCACCCCCAGACGCACCTTGCCAAAGAGGGCCTTCCACACCGTGCTGCGCACAAAAGAGAGTGATGATTTTTTGAGTCGACTCAAAACACAGTCCCGACCCCCTACCCCACCCCCACCCCCAGGCGCGCGCACCTTGCCAAAGAGAGCCTTCCACACCGTGCTGTGCACAAAGGACAGAATGCCCAGCACCCGCGTCTCCCGCCTGTTGCCCTGCCACGGGGGAAGAGGCATGCAGCAATGGGGAAAGAGGGGGGCGGGGAACGGAGACGAGGGAAGGGCAAGGCTGTTGCGGTTGGGACAGGCAGGCGGGCAGGCAGGCGGGCAGGCGGGCGGGCAGGCGGGCGGGCAGGCGGGCGGGCAGGCGGGCGGGCAGGCGGGCGGGCAGGCGGGCGTGCGGGCGGGCGGGAACGCAGGCATGCAGGCAGGCGAGCAGGCTGGCGGGCAGGAAGGTGGGCACGAAAGGGGCCTGAAAGTGCCTTCAAGAACGCCCTTGGGGTTCAAGAATGGCCTGGGCCCATCGTTGTGGTGCACGGCGATGCAGGACACCGCACATAGGAGAATTAGTGACAACATAACATATGGCCCATTGTTGTTCCGCCAGGCCATTACTGGCTGGATGGATGGATGGACGGATGGATGGACGGATGGACGGACGGACGGACGGACGGACGGACGGACGGACGGACGGATGGATGGATGGATGGATGGATGGATGGATGGATGGATGGATGGATGGATGGATGGATGGATGGATGGATGGATGGATGGATGGATGGATGGATGGATGGATGGATGGATGGATGGATGGATGGATGGATGGATGGATGGATGGATGGATGGATGGATGGATGGATGGATGGATGGATGGATGGATGGATGGATGGGTGGGTGGGTGGGCGGCTGGGTGGCTTAGGGGTGGGTGGGTGGGTGGGTGGGTGGGTGGGTGGGTGGGTGGGTGGGTGGGTGGGTGGGTGGGTGGGTGGGTGGGTGGGTGGGTGGATGCATGCATGATGAACACATGGACCGTTAAATGCCCAAAACAGGCCATTATCAGCCAACCCTTCCACCTCCTCGCCTGTGCAACCCCTATCATCCATTCTCCCATCGAGCCCTCCCCCCAGTCCCCGTGCCCACCTTCTCGCGCTGCACCAGCAGCTCTAGCATGCGCAGCCCTATGCCATACCCCAGGTCCTCCAGCCTGCAGGGGCGCGTGCGTTGCGTGGGGGGCGTGGGAGGGAGGAGGGGGAGTGAGGAAAGGGAAAATGCACGGAGATAAGTCGGAGGGGAAGGGAGGGAAAATGGGGAAATGAGGAGGACAGGAGGGCCACGGGAAGAGGGATTCTCAAAGAGGATTTGAAGAGGTGGAAGGGAGGGTGTGTGTGTTGTGGTAGTAAGCGCAACCGAAGGGTGAAACTAGGGGCAGGAGGCGAGTGGCACTAAGGTGCGGAATGCGGTAGAGTGCGATGGGAGCAGCAGCGTGGGTGTGTAGTGGTGTGCAAGCAGTGAGATGCAAGTAGGAAAGGGCAATGAGAACGAGATATGCTGCCGCAAAAAAGCAACGGACAGCAACGGACAGCAACGCACAGCAACGGACAGCAACGGATAGCAACGGACAGATGCAGGGGCCACACACACAGAGAGCTTGCTGTCTCTTCCCACTCACTCACTTCCTCTCAAGCTCTGCAATGTTGTTGACCCGCGTCTGGCTGTACTGCACCATCTCCGAGAAGAGAAACGCCAGCGCACTCAGACTCACCTGCACGCACCCATGGAGGGGGGATGGGCGCATGGCACAGGGTGGCATGGTATGGAGTGAGCGGCATGGCATGGGGCAACGAGCAGTGGTGGACAGATAAACGGAATGGCAAAGGAGGAGGGGCGGCACTTGAGTGAGAAAGGGTGAGCCAGAGGCAGATGGAAAAATCGTCCAATTTAGGGCTCGAGAATGGCAGAGCAGGAGCAGCGCAGAAGGGGGCGGGTGGAAGGTGGGGCGACGGAGAGCGCCAAAAGTGGGTGGGGGAGGAGCAAGGCAGCATGAGGTCGGGCGGGGAGAGAAGAGGCGGGGAGAGGAGGCGGGCACATGGATAGGAAGAGGAGAAGAGGCATGAGTAGGAGGAAGAGGGGCGGGCAGCTGCCTACGGCCCAGTGGCGAGGAGAGGGTGGCAGGGAAAGGCGATGTGATACATGGAAGCTAAGTTGCCAAATACGCTAGGGACACTTAGCGTTTAGCGAATATACGCTGGCGTTTACACACTAAACGCTAAACACAAGCAAATATGCTAAACGCTCGCAAATATTTTTTTGGGGCAGCCCGACCGGAAAAAATGTGAATATGCTGAAAGTTGCAGAACTGGACGACGAGCATTTTGCCGAAGTCGAAATGCACGTCCGCGACAGTCATGTGTGTAGGAGTGGTAATCTTATAATGGGGTAAAAAAATACCTCTGAAACATAACACCCTAGTTTTCCCCCCTATGATAGCCCTGGCGGTTTTTTTTCCCTGCCTGGGAAAGTTTTTTCCCTGCCCAAAAAAGCGTATGTCCATATCGCCCCCTAAGCGGATAGCGCATATACACTAGCGTATATACGATAAGCGTATATACGCTATAAGCGTATTTGGCAACTTAGCATGGAAGGAGGTGTGCAAGGCGGAAGGGGGAGTGTAAGGGGGAAGGGGGAGTGGGAGGGGGAAGGGGGAGTGGGAGGGGGAAGGGGGAGTGGGAGGGGGAAGGGGGGGTGGAAGGGAAAGGGAGAGAGCGAGGGGGAAGGGGAAGTGCGAGGGGGAAAGGGGAGTGTGAGGTGGAATGGGGAGTGTGAAGGGGGGGAAGGAGAAGTGTGCAGGGGAAGGGAGAGTGTGAGGTGGCAAGAGGAGTGTGAAGGGGAAGGGGCAGTGTGAGGGAGAAGGGGGAGTGCGCGGGCGAAGGGAGGGTATGAGGGGAAAGGGGTGTTTGGGGAAAAGGGAGGGGATGGGCTACAAAATCGGTTAACAAGTGAGATTTTCTTGTTACTGTGAACGCGGAAAGCAGATGGCAAGCACAGCAAGGGCGGTTAACGGGAGAGGGGAGGGATGGTGGGGGGGCTTGAGGGCCGGGGCGGTATGGCAATCATTGGGAGGGAGGAGCGTCCATAGCTGTGGAATGCGGTGGAGAGGCGAGATGGGAGGTGGAGAGGCGAGATGGGATCAGCTCAGTGGTGGAGGCGCCGATACCGCCGTCACTAACCCGTCTGTACTGCCCGCACCGCCGCACTGCCCGGAAAGCAATACTGCTTGCCCGTACTGCCCGGTTGTGCTGCCTGTATGGCACCTCCCGCTGCCTGCCGAGCGATTTGGTCGATGCGCCGACCGGCAAAAGTGAGCGCAAACGCGGAGCGCTGAGCGGCAGCGAAAACGGGACTCCGGGATGGGATGGGATACGACGCAGGGGGGAGGAGGCGGGAGGGGCGGGGAGGGGCAGGCGAGGAGGCGCGTAACCGCGTGGGGCGCGTGAGGTGCGTGAGGCGCGCGAGTACCTCGGACTTGCCGCGGCTCATGGGGCGATCCACGATGTTCTGCAGCTGCTTCGGCCGCGACGCGCCTCCGATCATCATCTTGGCGGGCGCGAAAGAGGACCGTTGGAAGATTACGTGCCGAGTACGGGTGTGCCAGGCTAAGGACGCGGCGCGATGAAGCAGGGAGGAAGGCAGGGTAAGAACGACCCACGGATTGGTCTCTGATCGTTTGTTACACAGGGCTTCGAATTGTACGCGTTTCCAATATTCCTTACTTCGCAGCCGGCTCCAACGCGTACAAAACTGTGCATGAGCTTACCTCGTAACGGACTGGTAACGGGCAAAGTAAGGATCCTATACTTCGTACATTACTGTGCACCTGGCTGGTAATGGGAGAAGGTCGAGGGGAGACCTGAAAATGGTAAGTGAAACTGGTTTCATTTGGGGGGAGTATGTACGATTGTGGCTCAATTGGGCTTCGTACGATATACAGAGGTTTATTCAAAAGTCAGAATGGTTGGGTAGGGTTATTTGAAACAACAACACTTCCAAGTGTGGGCCAACAAAACTCAGGATTGAACCTGACGTAAATCGAACAAGCAACCTTCTGATCTGGAGTCAGACGCGCTACTACGGGCCCTCCAAACTGGTATATGGCAGCATCCCAGTGTTGGCCGTCACAGTATCTTTGCCGCATCAGTGCAATCCTCCCTTTGCTTCTCCATTGCACTTTTCACATGCGTTTACAGTTTTCCAAGGGCACTCTCTAAGTGAATGTTATTGTCAGAATCACCCAAAATGAATCCCTGCACGATTAAAGATAGCTAGTAGATGCACAAAGTCATCTTCAGACAGCTTGGACGACCGCTTGTCCTCATACCCCTCCGCCTTGAGCACATCCAACACCTTCTCCTTGAACTCGGGCAACGGCCCTCCCCTCCCCTTCCCTCCCTTCCCTCCCTTCCCTCCAGTCCCTCCACCCCCCTCTCCCTCCTCCTCCATCGCTTCCACACCATCCTCCTCCTCCCCCTCCTCCACCTCGCCCTCCTCCCAGTCATCATCTCTCATGAACACATCAGCAGCACGTCCCTGCACTGCACCCTGCCCCTGCCCTGCTGCAGCCACCCCACCGGCAGCCTGCAGTGCCTGGAAGGTGAGCATGTTTTCATGCAGCAGGTTCAGAACGTTCTTCTGGCGGAAGATGGCGCCTAGGGTTTTGTTCTTGCGCGAGAAGCACAGGCGCAGCAGCCCGTCCCACTCCTGCAGGTTGATTGGTGGCAGCGGGTGCCGTGGCTCGATGCGCACTACACTTGAGTCCACCTTGGGCGGCGGGCGGAAGTTATTGCGCCCCACCTGGTGCCGGGGGAGGGGTGAAACGGGTGAAACGGAGCAGTGAGGGGACGGGGTGGGGGTGGGAGGGAGACTGTTGTGCGCGGTCAAGCTGGGACAGGTACCGCTCCTGGTGTGTGAGGAAGGGGAATGGACATTGTGTTGCCCAGCATAAGTGTGAGAACATGCTGGGCAAGACGTGCACATGCTGTGGGGAGCATAACATGGGCAGCGCACACACACAGCAGGTATAATTTGTTACACGCACCCACGCACCCGCCCACATACCCATCCCCACACCCCCCCCACACACACAGCATGCACACACGCACACACACACACACACACGCACACACACACGCACACACACGCACACGCACGCACGCACACACGCACGCACGCACACGCACGCGCGTGCGCACACACACCACCACCGTGACACCCCCATCACCACACCCACCCACCCACACACATCCACCACACACTCACCCACCCATCCCACCCCTTCCCCCTCCACCCCTCCATCCCCCCCACACATGGTGATGCTGCTGCCACGTGCCAAGCACCATGCCTTCTCACCTTGAGCAGATGGTGAATGCGCGCGAGCAGCTGCGAGTTGGCACTAAGGCGACAGTACAGGTTATCCCCCGGGCGTGCGAGCAGGCGCAGCGCAAACTCCTTTTGGAACATGATGATGGCGGCGCGGAAGTGCGGGCGGTGCGAGAGCAGCTTGAACACGATGGGCGAGGAGATCTGGTACGGGATGTTGGCCACGCAGATGTCAAAGTACGGTAGGTCCACCTTCAGGATGTCGCCCTGGATGATCTGCAGGAGGGGGGGAGGGGAGGGGGAGAGAGGAGGGGGGGGGGTTGAGGATTTCTGCGGGTTGCTACAGGGAGAGATCTGAGAGGAGAGGCAGGGATGTTGGCCACGCAGATGTCAAAGTACGGCAGGTCCACCTTCAGAATGTCGCCCTGGATGATCTGCGGGGGGGAAGGTTGCGGGTGGGGGGTTGAAGGGTTGGGGGTGGGGGTTTGGAGGATTGGGAATGGGAGGTTGATGGATTGGGGGTGGGAGGTTGATGATTGGGGGTGGCGGGTTGAAGGATGGGGTGAGGGCGTTGAAGGATTGGAGTTCGGGGTTGGGGGTTGACAAAGGGGGAGAGCGTGGGAAAAGAGGCAGGTTCCCCTTGAGGATGTCTCCCTGGATGCCCTGTGAGGGAGACTTAGGTTGGCTCTGGGGATTGACGCGTTGCGGTTGACGGTTGACGGGTGGAGAATGGGAAAGGATGGAAGCGGTGTGTGAAGAGAGGGAGAAAGAAGGAGGAGGGGGGGGGACGAGGGGGGTTCGTAGGGGACGGATGTGAGGAGAGGGGCGGGGTGGCAAGGGCAGGTGCATGCGAAGTGTGTCGACCAGGAGGATTAGCTGCTGGGAACAATGGGGGATTGAAGATAGGAGAGCGGTGGAGAGTGGGGTGGGAACAGCTGAGAGGAGAGTCGAGGAGAGGAGGGGAGAGGAGAGGAGAAGATAGAGGAGGAGGCGAGAATTGATGAGATGGAAGAGGGAAGTCGAGGATAGGAGCGGGGAAGGGGGGAGAGGGGAGGGGAGGAGAGGGGAGGGGAGGAGAGGAGGAGAGAAAAGGGGAGGTGCGGGTAGGGGAGGGGAGTAAGGGGCACATGCACGTACCGCCCACATGCACGTACCGCCCACATGCACGTACCGCCCACATGCACGTGCCTCACACGTGCACGCGCGTGCCCACCCACCTGCAGCTTGTTTTCGAGCGGCGTGCCCTGCACGCGGCGCGAGAGCTCCTGCACCATGCGCGGATCCAGCTCCACCGCCACCACGCGCTTCCCCGCCTCCAGCAGCTTCACCGTCAGGTTGCCTGGGGAGGGAGGGGGGGGGGGAGAATGGGGGAGAATGGGGGGCGGAAGGGGGGAGAAGGGGGAGGAAGGGTGGGAGGTATTAAGGGGGGGACGAAGGGAAACGGCTACTTGGTGGGAAGATAGCGGAGATATAGTATTCGAGTGCCTAAGAGAGAGAAACGTAATGAGTGCGACACACGCGGCGGTAAGCGGAAAGGATGCACGATGAAAGACACCCGCGAGTGCAGCCACTTCCCGGGCTCAGGATTTCACACGAGACACGACACACGGGAGAAGCGTGGGGGCAGGCAGCGAGGCAGAACGTTCACCGCCCCGCTTCCCCCCCACGGAAAGCTCCGTCTCGTTCCGATACGAAACCGCAGCACCCCTTCACGCGCCGCAACCCCGCACATCCCAACAACAACTCGCCTCTCCACCATGAAAACCTCACCCGCGCTTTCAATAGCTAACTCAATTTTCCGCCACGCTGCCGGCTTCAATTCTCACCCGTTCCCGGGCCCATTTCGAGCACGGTGCGGAGTTCAACGCTCACACGTCCCGTTCCCAGGTGAGGGTACAAAACCCTCACCCGCTCTTTCAATCGCAGACGCACACCGACACGTCATCAGCTTCGAGCCTCACCCGTTCCGGGTCCGATTTCGAGCACGGTGTCGGTAGACTTGACGCCGGCTTTCTGCACGATTGACTGCACCACCATGGGATTCTTCAGAATGTGCTGCCCTTTGCTCTTCTGAAACTCGATTCCTTGGAATCTCCGCGACGCGCCCTCCTTGCCCTTTCGAGGAGCTTTCCCGCCCGCCATTCGCGCTGCGGTGGCTAAGTCGAACGGTTCGGTGATTGGTTCGGTAGAAGCGGGCCCGGTGCTGCGCGGCGACGCGAGACAATTTAGAGACGCGACGTGGAGCGGGCGGCTGGCGAAAGAAAGTACAGATTCGCAGAGCGAGTTTGCAAGCGATCGTTCGTGAAAGTTGGTCGCGAAGGTTGACGCGGATGGAGACTCGAATGCTCCTCGGATTAACTCGGACGGCAGAGCACGAGATGATGCTCCTCCAGGTAGTAGCGCCGAGGCCGAAGATTCAAGCGCAGGAAACGCAGCTAATGGGTGGAGCTTTCTCGCGATTGCGCGATTTCTTGCTGCTCGTGCTGCTGTGGCTGCGCTGGCAACAAGCATATCGCGGGTTTCAGGTTTGAGAAGGGTTTTGCCAAGGACTAGGGTTTGATGACCTGGGTAAGGGTCCCAATCAAAGGAGGAAATGACGGATGGCCCTGCTCTCGTGTTTCCGATTCCTTTGGGCAGCGGTTTTGACAGCCCCTTGCTTCTCTCTCGCGTCAGATTCCTTCGGGCATATATTTTCGCCATTTCCCTTTTTAACTCCAAAGTCTAGGATTTTTTTTTTCGTTTACGGGATATCCGAAATTATATCGTCGTGTCAATAACAAGAAGCTAAGGAAAACAATATATACCCTTCTTGGATGGCATGCCATGTAAAGGGCATCAACCCTAAACACCATAAAATGTGTTTGGGAAATGGCGAGATCAGCTGCCTCAAGGAATCGGCGCGAGCGCAAAGCAAGTCGCTTTCAAAACCATTGCCCAGAGGAATCAGAAACAAGAGCAAGGCAATCTGTCCCCTCGAGTTAAATGGGTGTTTATAACATGAAACTGCGCTAACTACATAAATTTACGCTCATGTCATTTCCATCTAGTGAACAAAAAAATGATGCAAATAGCCATTAATAGTTAAAAAAAAAAGAAACAAATGCCAAAATAATGCACAAATATATATATATATATGTGTATATATATATTATGGTTTTAATTTTCGTTATGATTAAGACATACAAACAAATGCAATTCATAGCATGCGCCCTACGTTACCA